AAGATGACGAAGAAGAAGGGAAGAAGAAGAAGAAGAGAGGGAGAGAGTAAGAAGAGGAGGAAGAAGATGATGAAGAAGAAGGGAAGAAGAAGAAGAAGAGAGGGAGAGAGTAAGAAGAGGAGGAAGAAGAAGATGAAGAAGAAGGGAAGAAGGAGGAGGGAGGGGAGCCTATGGAGTGAGCCTACGGAGGGAGGCGAAGGGGGAAGGGAGACTGATGGAGGGAGGGAGTCTAACGAGGGAGGAGGACGGGGAAGGGAGACGGACGGAGGAGGAGGGGGGAGGGAGTCTATGGAGGGAGGAGGGAGGCTATGGCAGACGGAGCAGAAGCATAATCAAGCATTCCCAAAGAAAAAAAAAAGATGACGATTTGTTGATGAAGCGCCATGAAGAAAAAGAACAAATAGAAGAAGAAACGATAAAGAAAAAAAGAAAAGAAGACGAAGAAACAACGAAGAAGGAAAAGAACACAACGAAATGGAGGAGAAGGAGAGGATGAAGAATGAGACAAAATGAAGAAGAACAAACAAATACGTAGTAAAGATGAAGAAGAACAAGTAGAAGAAGCAGAAGAAGAAGAAAACTTACCTGAGTTGGTGATGGCGGCGCAGGCAGTCTTTGTCAGGGGCAAGGAGGATGGCGCGGCTGGACGGCGACGACGGTGGCGCGCCGGAGGGCAGCAGGGTGATGACGACGAAGGCTCGGCAGGGTGAAGATAACGATGGCGCGGACGACCATGCAACAACGGCGGGGAAACAAGCTGGTGCGGGGGTGTAGGGCGGAGGGCGCAGGGCCGCGTGGTAAGTCCCCAAGATTTGAATTCAAAATCTTGGGACTTCCGCGCCATCGATCAACGCAGATCGACGGCCCAGGTTCCCCCATAATGGGGCCTATCGGATCCCAAATAATATTGGGGCGGCTGCCAATTTTTTTTTTGCCCCTCTGGGCCTTCTAAAAGGGCTTTTACGCGATTCAGACCCTGTTTTGACGAATGCAGCATAGTGGGGTCACTCGCCCAGAGCCCAGCTCGTGAAAGCAGATCAAAGGACATGTTCTCGGGGTCAAAAGTCACATCCTAGCTAAGTAAAAGTCAACGTCAAAGGTCACAGTTGTGCCCCTGGACGAACAGTTGCAGCATTCAGATATGGGAGTCACATCTGTTCATCCAGGGGGTGTGCAAGTCATGTCTGTTCATGTAGGAGATGTGTTTGTACGTGCAGTATGTGTGTCTGTTTGTGCAGTATGTGTGTCTGTTCGTGCAGAATGTGTGTCTGTTCGAGCAGTAGGTGTGCCTATTCAAAAGAAGTCAAAAGGTTAAGTCCCAGTCACGAATTAAGTCGGAGGGAGAGTCTAGATACAGGCCCCAAGTCCGAAATTCAGGCCGGAAGGCCGCCGCAGCAGCAGACCCTGAAGGAAAAGGTACTGGGACACACTCCACAGAGGCTGGGACTGGGACAGGATCCAAGACAGGCTGAATTCAGACCTCTGAAGGGGAGGCCAGCACTATAAAGGACGAGGCAGCCTCCCCACCAGGCAGATTTCCCATGGGCATTGATGCGTGGAAGTGCTGAGGCACTTGTGCGCTATAGTGCAGGGGGGAGCGCTGGCAGAAGAAGCTGCTCCAGAAGGGAGATGAGCTGGGCGCTGGCTGCAGGGAAGCCATAGCTGCGCGAGCCTGAGTTAGTAGAAGTAGTAGAGGGGTTAGTAGTAGGATATCAGTGAGAGGTATTCAGAGTAGATTCTCGTACACAAGGAGTGTGCATGCATAGTGAGAGAAGGGAACCACGACAGGGATCTTGACAGAGAAGATAGAGAGAGAGGTTACAAAGTGGGATATGGTGGATACTTACCTGCTTGCGCCATACTTGTGATTTGAAGGGTGACGCTGGCTGAGCCAGGTCTTAAGCTGATGAATGAGGGAATAAGACTTGCATTTTGTTGGCGCTGAACTTTTGAGCTCGAGATACTCTTGTGTAATGTGAATTTGATAATAAGAGCTGCGCTATCTGGTTCCTATATCATCTCGACTTTGGCTTTGTGTGAGGCTATCCTATCGATGTGATGACGAATGTGCATGCAAATTGAACACTCCAGCAGGTTGTGAACAGTCAGGTTCCTTGCAATTTGGTATCGGAGCCGAACTCGTTACTCTCACTGGAGCGCTGGCATGAGTAAGGCCGGCGAGGGAGGTATGCTGGCTCAATGAATGCTGGCGATGGTGGAGACCTAAGAAGTGTGTGTTGAGGATTGGGATAAGGAGGGGGAAGCAGGCCGAAGAGGAAGGGGCTAAGGAGAAGTGTTTTACCTGCGCGTGGAGCGTGGAGCGTGGAGCGATCGAGGAGACTTCATCGACGTCCGCAAAGAAGAGAAGAACCTCTTACCCCTTACCTGGCTGTGTGTGGAGTTGTGCTGAGTACCTTCTTCTACCCCTCCTCTCTGGTGGTCGCTGCTGCTGCTGTCTGTCCATATCTGGTCCGGTCTGAAGGGCAGGGCGCGAGAGTCTGGTCAAGTTGACAGCAGGTCAGAGTCATCATCTGGTCGTACATCCCTGACATGTGGTCTGACATCTGCGCTGAGTGGTAGGAAAGGATAGGGATAGGCTGTGGGCATAGTGGCAGATTGCCACGTTAGATAGCACACGAGTCATAAGGCAATAAGTGAACAGGGCAAGTTGATTTTGCGATTGAAGTACTAGCCGTGCATCTGACATTGTGTAAGCTCCAGCCTGGTCCTGCGCAACAAGCTAGTGTATTAGTAATATAAAAAAAGAAAAAAGATAGAAACAAAGCAGGGCCAGACAAGTGTAAATACAACGAGGGCATATTGAAGTTGAAGACAGGCAGCAAGCAAAGTTAAGAAAGAAGGAAAAAAAAAAAAGAATTCTCTTCTTTATTTGATTAGTGAAGTAAACTTGATAGTTTTATTTCCTGAAATTCGTTACATTTGAGACAGCGACATCCAGAGTTTGAAAAAAAAAAAAAAAACAGAGCATATCTCATCCACGTGGCAGACAAGTAGGATAAGAGAGGAGTTCTTACCTGGTGGGACAACGGAGGGGTACTTGTGCTGCACCCCATCATGGACGACTACCCCATGAAAGGCATTATGGCCCTCTCGGTGTTGATGGGCCCACTCTTCAAAATCTTCTTTCCCCTGGGCTTCGGGAGAGTGCACTTCCCGTATGATGTTGAGATCAGGAAGTACAAAGCCAGGGCTTATACCTGCAGAGCAGGCTGAAGTGGATCGCCGTCAGGCGGAAAAGAAAAAAGAAAAAGAAGAAAGGAAGAGACAGAAAGAAGAAGAAGTAAAGAAGAAAATGCAGATGGAAGAAGAAAGAATGAAGAAGGAGATGAAAGAAAAGTTAGAGAAAAAGTTGAAAGAAGAATTG